TGCAGTTCCTTACATCACTAACCTGCTCCTCCTTCTCCTTGAAGAGTATCTGCCACCCAGAACTAGCTCAGCTGAGACACCAGTGGCAAGAGGAGCACGTGGCAATAATTTCCAGAAGTGGCATCAGGAAATATCCAACTTTTAGTGACAATGACATCTAACTTTTAATGTTAAAAAGTTGATTAACGCATTTGATTGGTGTTAATGATATTAAAAAGATGTCTGAGAAGTATCATAAGACCATGAGGAAAGCAATTAGAGAAGTCTCTGTAGTTCCTCCCCTCCTCCTTCTTACAGAAGTTCCATCTTAATCCCCATTTCCCAGGCATGGAACACAAGTCAAGTCTCTTCTCACCATGACTTCCCAGTCTCTGACCAAATCTTATTTCTCCCACATTGACTTTGGAAATTATCATCTCTACTACATATTACTTGTTGCTCTCTCAGCTATAGTCACTGTTAGACTCTTGTCTTCTGAGCTCACACAGTTCACCTCTGTCAGGCCAAAAACTACAGAAGTTTAGAATTGATTTGTTAGTTTACTGTTTCAGGTTTTATTTTGCTAGTATCACAACGAGTTTATGTTGTATAATAATAGATGACTGGCTGGGAAATAAAACAAAGCAAAATTTCATTTTCCAAGTCTATTCGGAAAAGTGACCCCTTTCCATAACATCCATAATTTGTGGCTTTATCCTACTTAGAGAAAAAGTTTTACTGGAATCACAAAAGAAGAAAGTTCTATATATAAATTTACTTCTAGGATCTTTGCATAATTATTTTCTTTTTATATCCTTTTTGCTTATCCATAGCTGTTTCCTCTGAGGTATTTTAACTCTGTGCTTAGATGTGAGAAAAGCAACATGTAAGATTCAATCACCTGACACCATGGCAGCCAAGGGGCCTAAAGTTTTATCAGGCAAATGTCATCATGTTCCTACATCTGTTTCTCTGAATGCATTGGAGCCCTTGGGTCACTGCTTAGGGAGAAGTCAGGGAGTGGGTTCAGCCTTCATGTATAGAGACTAGTTCCTTCCATGTCAGTTGTGCTGCATCAACTTTGATGTGTTAGCTCTTTGGAACCCTGAAGGGAATATAGAATCTGCAGTCTCATGACTGAATGTTTGCTCTGTATCTCCTGTCTCTATACGCTCTTGGTGCATCTCAAAACTGGTTGTATCTTGAATAGAAGAGAAATAGTTGGAGGCTCCATTACCATTTGGAACCCAGCTTGAGTCATCAATTGATATAATGTCCACTTCTGATCTAGTTCTTCATCAGAGTCTGATTGGGTCATAGTCTTTGCAGCCATGGGCAAACTGCATATGGCTTCTGAGCTATGTGGGTATCTGTATCTTTAACTGGATAGCATTTCTGCTTCACTTTCAGCCTCATTCTTTATTTGGTTTCCTTCATGTAGGATGAACATGGCACAAATGGAATTTCAGTAAGTCTCAATTTATCTCTATTTAGCTTTTATGAGTTCTACATTCCTTGGGCAGAGCAAAGGGAAACTTCTTAGCTGTTTCATACTGGAGCTCTTTCTTTTACCATCACACTTTGGCAACTATCAAGACATGGAATATCATCTGAGATGTTCCCTTTCCTCATCTGTTGTTTCATAGCCCCATTTGCTTGAAGTCCCGACAGAACTTCTGAGACTAGGCCATGGCCAGAGGGCCATCGTGATTCCAGGTTGAAGACCGAGCATCACTGTGCTACCACTTTGTGATGCCCCCTCTGACTGACCACCAGCAGGGGTTTCCAATGTGGATCACAAATCCCACCTACACAGTCTCACAAAACATAAGCCACTGAAAGGCTGCTGTTATGAGCCGAGAACGACGCAGGATTCTTGGACTCTGAAGGAGAGAAATTCAGTCTGGGGCCAGTGATGTGGCTTGATCACTCAGAGCTTCGTGTATAATAAAGTTTTATTAAAGTATGAAAGAGAGAAAGCTTCTGATATAGACATCAGAAGGGGACAGAAAGAATGCCCCCTTGCTAGTCTTAGAAGGAGTTATGTAACTATTAGAAGCTGCTAATTAGAGAAAGGAAATGCCTCAAAACTGAGAAAAGTTTCACCAGAGCTCTCACCCACAACTTACATTGTGAGCTAGCATTGACACAAGGTGAGTCATCCTTGGTCATAAAACTAACAACACGAATCTTGAAGAAAGGCAGATTTCCAAGCAAATGCATAGTTCATTCAGTCAGTTCAGTTCAGTTGCTCAGTCGTGTCTGACTCTTTGCAACCCCATGGACTGCAGCACGCCAGGCTTCCCTGTCCATCACCAACTCCCAGAGCTTGCTCAAACTCATGTCCATTGAGTTGGTGATGCCATCCAACCATTTCATCCCCTTCTCCTCCCGCCTTCAATCTTTCCCAGCATCAGGGTCTTTTCCAATAAACATAGATTATTAACGTAGCTTAAGAAAGACATTTACATGAGAAAAACGCATTGGTTAGCTCAAGGTTTGAGATAAGGTTAAGTTCAGAGGGAACCAGGTATCACCATGACAGCACAGGATTAGAAGAGAAAAGAAAAGAAAAAAAAAAAAAAGCCTGCCATTGAAGTTTTATTTCCTCCTGCTGCTTGAGGACCTCTGGCCTCCCTATCAAGGCTATTAACACTCTCACCACCAGGGGCGCTAAGCTTAGCTGGAGGTATCAGGACAGGAGACACATCACTGGGCTAAGCGCCTCAGGTGAGCTCTCAGAGATGATCCTTACGGGAGGTGCAGTATCCCCATCATCTCAACTTTGTAAGGAACCACACAGATGGATGTGTGTGAACCACCACAGGTGAGATAAGCCTAGTGAATTGATTACCTTGTAAAAAGACCACGAGCACCAGTTTTCAGATACCTAAAAGAGACATATTTGATGATGAGAGTCACAATCTCCTTGTGAAAAATGAGGTATATTCTAACCAACTGTGTTTATTTAAGAACTATATAATGCCTTCCTAGTCCCAAATGCAGTTTATATCAGACTAATTGTGTTATCCATAATGTGTTCTTGAAAGGCTGCAGAACTTCTACTCAGTTGTAATCCAGTAGGTTTCCCAGAAAACAACACACACACACACACACACACACACACACTCTCTCACACAGACTTAGGAGAATTGTAGCCAGTATTATCTTTATAGCAAGAAAGAGCCCAGACCTGATGTTAACCGTTGTTACTACATATCTAATCTAAAACAGAATCCTGCCTTTTTTCTCTCTCACTCTCACATGCTGCCCTTCATTCCCCTCATCACACTGTTCTCAAACTATCATCATCTCTCGCCTGAGCAGCTGCATCCTACCTGATCTTCCCAATTCTGCCCTGGGTCCCTCCAACTCCTCACAGCCCAAGGGCCCACCTGGTCATGCACCTACTCTTCTCTGACGGGAAAACATTGATAACTTCTCCTGACTCTTGGAGGTGGGTCTGCAAATGTTACAGATGTTAGGAAGTGTCATGATTAATGTCACTGCAGCCTCTTGTGATACCAGGGGCCTGGCACTTCTCTGCGCTCCTGTCAAACTGGCCTTTTGAAACCTGTATAAGAGGCTGTGTCTTCAAGGAACAGGTCATTTCCTACACCTAAAATGTTTATACTCTCTTTCCTTCCATATTTCCTTCATCTTCTTTGAGTTTAGCCCTTATGTTTTCAAGCTGGAATTCTTGGATAACCCTTTTTTCATCCCTATATTTGATCTCTGATAAACATATATGTCTCTGTAGTGGTATCTTTATATCCGATCTTCTGTATCTATAAGACTGAATTTTTATTTACTACTACTTTCCAGGTGAATATCAAGCTTACAGTGGTCTAAATCATCTTTTTGAACTCATCTTACTGTGTATGGATATTAATCCAGTTGCCAGCACATAATTCTTCATTAACAATAATTATTTGAATAATATGACCTAATATTTTGAGATTTTTCATCTCAAGACTGACATTCATTTCATCTATGTTTATCTGTTTTTATATATCTGACTTATGAGTCTATTTATACTAACTCCCTCCTCACCATCATACAGATACTTCTTTTAGACTCCTATCAATGCTCCTAGGAATATTTCTGGGCCAAAGAGAAATCAGTATGTACACACTCAAGACTTTGTAGACCTATCCAGCTGGTTTGAATTTCTTCATTTCCACACACCCCCTCACATTGCTCTGAATATTAATTGGGTCCATGAAGTAACTTCTGTTTGTCTCAGATTAACTCAGTGGGGTAGGAGACAGGCCTCTGAAGGGGTGCTGTCAATATATTAGGTTCAGCCCATTCAGTGTATTAAAGATGCATGATCTTTGTAAGTCACTGGCTCCATTTACTCATCTGATGAAGGATTTGCTCTTATCATATGTATAAGCACACTGTAATATACTATGTCATGATAATATGGGAGCTCATTGCAAATGTCCAACAGTTAGTGGCAGTGGTTACACATAAATACTTTAGTTAGAGCAGTTCTTTGTGATGAGAGAACATCAGGAAAGAGTTTACCAAAGCATTAGAGAGAGTCATATCGGTATCAGGGGAAGTAGTTCATACTTAGAGAAGAGTGGATATAAAATCCCAAAGACATTAAGTGATTTCAGCCTTTCGATACTGAAGATGCTTCTTGGGCATGGAAAAGAAAAATCAGGATGGATGGTGGATCATACAAGTATCTTAGTAAAAAAAGCTTCAGGTCATATTTTTGTTAAGTAACATTAAATAATAAGACTCATTAAATTTACTGAGTTGATAGTAAAGCGTTAAATTATGAAATGTCCTTTTGACTTGGTAACCAAGATCCTTTCCTTGTTTCTCTGTTTTCTTTCTGTCCTTCAATAATTTGATCTTGGCCTGTACTTGATTTATAAGCAATTAGTACCATGTTTTTCTACCTTTCTTACTCTGTTCCCTTTTATCCTTCCCAATCCTGTAGCAATCTGTGAGCAAGAGAACCCACAGAAGTCAGGACAGGTAGGAGAAGGTGAGCAGGTGCTATGGCTTCAGAAAAATTGGTGAATCTACAAGAGGAGGTGACCTGCCCCATTTGCCTGGAGCTTCTAACAGAACCCCTGACCCTTGACTGTGGCCATAGTTTCTGCCAAATCTGTCTCACTGCAAACAGCAAGACGTCCGTGGCTGGCCAAGAGGAGGAGAGAAAGTGCCCTGTGTGCAGAATCACTTATGAATCTGGGAAACTGCGGCCTAATTGGCACCTGGCCAATATAGTGCAGAGGGTCAGGGAGGTCAAACTGAGCCTGGAGGATCAAGAGAAACATCTCTGTGTGCACCATGGAGAGAAACTCCTGCTCTTCTGTGAGGAGGATGGGAAGGTCATTTGCTGGCTCTGTGAACGGACACAGAAGCACCGTGGTCACTCTACATTTCTCATAGAGGAGGTTGCCCAGGATTACCAGGTAAGAGACCATAATGGAGAGAAAACAGGGCAGAAAATTGTAGTTGATGAGAAATGTCTGCTTTACACTGGACTTTAATTACCTACTCACCATGAACCTGGGGTCTGTGATTTTTTTTCTTCCTATGCTCACCTTCTGATGTCTGAAGGACATAAATGTGCATTTTGACAATTACAAAGTGATAACCCTATACACAGACTATTAGCCTTGTGCTAATATGTGGAGATTGGTGCCCAAGAGAAGCTTTCCTTACCTCTTTGAACAGGAGAAGTAACTAGGACACCAGGTAGATTGAAATGTAAGCTATTTCCTGCCGGAGCCTGCCGGCAAACGAACCGGTCACGGACGCAATCGTCGAAATACCTAAGAAATAAAGACTCCGAAAGATGGGGTTGAGAGGGACGGAGGCAGCTCTCGACTGAAACCGACGACTTTATTGAGGGGTAACATACATATATATGCTAACAGGACTCACTAAATTTAGATCAAAGACATGCATACGTGCAGAATCGCAGACAGTAGATTTAGCTCAGGAATTTTATCTCAGCTCTTTAAGACTAGCAGAGCATGGCACTGGCGTCTTAGTATGATTACAATCAGTTAAAGATTACCTAGACATAAACCATACACAGGAGCCTGACAATCTCATCAGAGTCAGGAAAATGGGTAAAAGGTCGCTGCAGCAATTTCCTTGAGGGAGGTAAGAAAGGCCAGCTTGCACTTTAATAAATTAGGGGTGGCGGGACAGAGAGGGACCTCTTGATCTCTCTCAGGGCCAAGAAGGAGCCTGAGCAGTCAGGCCGGCTCCCCTCAATTTCCTTGTTGCAGGATCAGGTTTCTTCTTAAACAACCAGTCTTCTCTAGGTGAGAGGGTGGTGACTTCCATCTCTTCAGTCTTATAGAACACATTCCCCACCTCAAGTCTTCTTCCAAGTCATAGAGTCTAATTGCTGTTCTCAGTTTCTGTGAAGCATATTCTCTTTGGAAATCAGGATCATTTCTCCTCCATTTATCATCCTCTATAGTGATGCTGAGAAAGTCCATAGCTTGACTCTGATGTGATTCTTTTCTCAACAGAACAAACTCCAGGCAGCTCTGAAGAGGCTGAAGCAGGAGCAGCAGGAAGCTAAGGCGTTGGAATCTGACTTCAAAGAAGAGATTGCTGCCTGGAAGGTAGGAGGAGACACTTCCTGAAGGAGTTAGACAGATATCTGGGCAGGACCTTAGGTTGATCACAAGGAGCTACCTTCCTATTTGTTCCCAGACAGTTAAGTCATTTGACTAATCCTTTTCTTCACCATTTCCCTGATAAGAGTGGGTGCTAAAAAGTGAACATAGAGCAAATGAACACAGATATTGGAAGGGAGGTATTCTTTTAGAGAGATTCTCTAGTGGGGATGACTAGGGAATTTCATGTTCCATTCTTGACATATTCATTAGCCTTTGACTCTTCCGACAAAGACATCTGACAGTGGCTTATGGCTCTGTCCTCATTGTTCACCTTTTTGACAGAGGTTGGTTGGAGGGGGTCAGAAGCAATGCAGGGAGGCAAGAGAATTCTGAATAAATGTGTGAAGGGTGAGCCACACCCATGGAATCCTTTTGGCTCTTGGTTGTCCTCAACAATGCAGACTTGGAGGCATTATTTTGAAATGTGATAGAGAGGAAATAAAAGAAAATAGCAAAGTCAGCTTTTCCAAAAATTGTTTTCTTCCTCTCTCTCTCTTATTACTGAAGAATCAAACACAACATGAGAGACAAAATGTCGAGGCAGAGTTTAAAAAACTGAGAGCAATCCTGGACAGTGAGGAGAGGAAGGAACTACAAAAGCTGAAGGCTGAGCAGACAGCTATTCTGTGTACCATGGCAAACTCTGAGAATGAGCTGGTCCAGCAGAGCCAGTTGGTGAGAAATCTCATCTCAGATATAGAGCATCGTTTGCAGTGGTCAACAGTGCAAATGCTTCAGGTAAGACTTGGGAAGAAGCCCTAGCATCTGAGACATGAGGAAAATGAAGTCAAGGTTTCCATCACTTTCAAGTTGCTGGGCTCTTTCTGGTGCTGTCACTGCCCCCCCATCCTTCACTCCTTGTAACCATAAGTTTGTTCTCTAAGTCTGTGAGTCTGCTTCTGTTTTGTAAATAAGTTCATTTGTATCATTTTGAAGAGATTCTGCATGTAAATGGTAGCCTATAATATACACTATATTGTATGTCTGACTTCATTCAGTATGACAATCTCTAGTTCCATCCACGTTGCTGCAAATGGCATTGTTTCATTCTTTTTAATGGCTAATATTCCATTGTACATATGTATCATGTGTTCTTTATTCATTCCTCGATTGATGGACATTTAAGTTGTTTCCATGTCTTGACCATTGTAAATAGCACTGCAAAGAACACTGGGGTATGTATCCTTTCAGATCATGTTTTTCTCCAGACATATCCCTAGGAGTGGCCTTGCAGGATCATATGGTAGCTCTATTTTCAGTTTCTTAAGGAATCTCTATTGGCCTCACCCATTTACATTCCCATCAACTGTGTAGAAGGGTTCCCTTCTCTCCACTCAGTTTCCAACATTTATTGTTTGTGGGTTTTTAGATACTGGCCTTTCTAACTGGTGTGAGGTGATTTGTGTTTCTCTAACAATTTTGATTTCCATTTCTCTATTAATTAGTGATGTTGAACATCTTTTCAAATACCCCTTGGCCATCTGTATGTCTTCTTTGGAGAAATATCTATTTAGGTCTTCTGCTTGTTTTTTGATTTGGTTATTTGTCTTGATGATATAAATTTCCCTGGTGGCTCAGATGGTAAAGCGTCTGCCTACAAAGCGGGAGACTCAGCTTCCATCCCTGGGTTGGGAAGATCCTCTGGAGAAGAAAATGGCAACCCACTCCAGTACTCTTGCCTGGAAAATCCCATGGATGGAGGAGCATGGTAGGCTATAGTCCATGGGGTCACATGATATTAAGCTACTCGAACTCTTCATAAATTTGGAGACAAATTCCTTATAATTGACATCATTTACAAATATTTTCTTCCAATCTGTGGCTTGTCTTTTCATTTTATTTAAAAGTTTTGAATTTGATTATGTCCCATTTGTTTATTTTTGTTTTTATTTTCAGTACTCTGGGAGATAGATCCGAAAAACCTATTGCTGTGATTTTTGCCAGAGAGTGTTCTGCCGATGTTTTCCTCCAAGTGTTTTATAGTGTTTCGTCTCATATGTACATCCTTAATACATTTTGAGATTATTTTTATAATAATAAAAGTGTTAAGTGTTAAGAAGTGTTTTAATTTCGTTCTTACATGTAGTTTTCCAGTTTCCCCAGTTTAGTGGTTTCCCTTCCTCTGCAATATTTTGGAACAGCTTCAGAAGAATTGTTGATAGCTTTTCCCCGTGATAGAATTTACACGTGAGCACATCTGGTCCTGGACTTTCACGCGCTGGATTACTTTCAGTCACAGTTTCAATACTTGTGACCAGTCTGCTTGTCTTTTCTATTTCTTTCCAGTTAAGTCTTGGGAGATACCTTTCTAAGAATTCGTCCATTTCTTTGAGGTGGTCCATTTTATTGGCACATATTTTTGTTTTTTGTGTTTTTTTTTTTCCCCTTATAGTTTATTTCTAGCCTCATAGCATTGTGGTTGGAAAAGATGCTTGATATGATTTCAACTTTCTTAAATTTACTGAGGTTCACTTTGTGGCACAATATGTGATCAATCCCAAAGAATGTTTCATGTGCACTTGAGAAGAATGTGTGTTTTTCTGCTTTGGATGGAATGCTCTATAAATATCAATTAAGTCCATTTGGCCTAATGTGTGATTTAAAACCTGTGTTTCCTTGTTGATTTTCTGCCTGAATGATCTGTCCATCGATGAAAGAGGGGTGTAAATTCTCCTGCTATTATTGTGTTAACTGTCAGTTTCTCCCTTGTTGGCTATTAGTATTTGCCGTATATATTGAGGTGTTCCTATGTTGGGTGAATGTATTTTTAAAATTGTAATATCAACTTCTTGAATTGATCCCTTGATCATTATGTAGTGTCTTCCTTTATCTCTTATAACAATATTTATTTTAACATCTATTTGTCTAACATGAGTATTACTACTACAACTTTTTTTTTTCAATTTCCATTTCCATGAAATACATTTTTCCACAAACTGAGAGGTTCCAGATGTAGTAGCTGGGTTTAGAAAAGGCACTGGAACCAGAAATCAAATTGCCAACATTCATTGGATTATAGAGAAAAAGACAGAATTCCAGAAAAACATTTACTTCTGCTTCATTGACTGTGCTAAAGCCTTTGGCTCTGTGGATCACAACAAACTTTGAAAAAATCTTAATGATATGGAATACCAGACCACCTTACCTGCCTCCTGAGAAACCTGTATGCAAGTCAAGAAGCAATAGTTAGCACTAGGCATGTAAAAACAGACTGGTTCAAAAATGGGAATGGAGTACATCAAGGCTGTATATTGTCACCCTGCTTATTCAACTTACAAGCAGAGTACATCATGCCAAATATTGTGCTGTATCACTCACAAGCTAGAATCAAGATTGCTGAGAGTAATATCAATAACCTCAGATATGCAGATGATACCACTCTAAAGCAGAAAGTGAAGAGGAACTAAAGATCCTCTTGATGAAGGTGAAAGAGGAGAGTGAAAAAGTTGGCTTGAAATTCAACTTTCAAAAAACTAAGATCATTACATCCATCTCATCATCACTTCATGGCAAATAAAAGGGGAAAAAATGGAAGCAGTAACAGATTTCATTTTCTTGGGCTCCAAAATCATTGTGGACGGTGACTGCAGTCACGAAATTAAAAGACACTTATTCCTTGGAAGGAAAGTTATGACAAACTTAGGCAGTGTATTAAAAAACAGAGACATCACTTTGCCAATAAAGGTCCATAAGGTCAAAGGTATGGTTTTTCCAGTAGTCATGCATAGATGTGAGAGTTGGACCATAAAGAAGACTGAGTGCTGAGGAACTGATGCTTTTGAATTGTGGTGCTGGAGAAGACTCTTGAGAGTCCCTCGGACTGCAAGGAGATCAAACCAGTCAGTCATATAGGAAATCAGCCCTGAATATTCATTGGAAGGACTGATGCTGAAGCTGAAGCTCCAGTATTTTGGCCACCTGATGCAAAGAGCCAACTCAATGGGAAAGACCCTGATGCTGGGAAAGATTGAAGGCAAAATGAGAAGGGGAGTGGCAGAGGATGAGATGGTTAGGTAACATCACTGACTTGGTGGACATGAATTTGAGCAAACTCTGGGAAATTGTGGAGGACAGAGGAGCTTGGCACGCTGCAGTCCATGGGGTCCCAAAGAGTTGTACATCATTTAGCAACTGAATATCAACAGCAATCTTTTTCCATCCCCTCACTTTCAGTCTATATGTATCCCTAGATCTAAAGTGAGTTTCTTGTAGACAGTATATATATGTCTTGTTTTGTATTCATTCAGCCAGGTTATGCCTTTTGGTTGGAGAGTTTAATCTGTTTACATTTAAGGTAATTATTGATATGCAAGTTCCTACTGCCATTTTCTTAATTGGTTTTGTTTTTGTACATCTTTTTTCTTCCCTTCCTCTCTTATTCTCTTCTCCTGTGGCTTGATGAACACTTTAGCATTGTGTTTGGCTTGCTTTTTCTTTTTGTGTATCTATCTATTATAGTTTTGGTGTTTGCTGTTCTTGAGACGTTTTCATATAGCAGTATATATATTTACAAGACTTTTCAGATTGCTGGTCTCTTTCCTGCCTAGACAAGTTCCTTTAGCATTTGTTGCAAAGCTGGTCTGGCGATGCTAAATTCTCTTAGCTTCTGCTTTTCTGTGAAGCTCTTTATATCTCTGGCAAGAGTATATGCTGGGTAGAGTGGTTTTGGTTGTAAGTCCTTTAAATGTATTGTGCTACTTCCTACTAGCCTGCAGAGTTTCTGTTGAAAAATTAGCTGATAACATTATGGGAATCACCTCATATGTTATTTGTCATTTTTCTATTGTTGCTTTTAATATTTTTTCTTGCTCTTAATTTCTGTCACTTTGATTACTATGTGCCTCGGCATATTCCTCCTTGTGTTTATCCTGCCTAGGACTCTATTTGCTTCCTGGACTTCAGTGGCAGTTTCTTTTCCCATATTAGGGAACTTTTCAGCAATTATCTCTTCAAATATTTTCTCAAATCCTTTTTTTCTCTCTTCTCTATCTGGGACCCTTAAAATGCAAACATTTGTGCATTTAATGTTGTCCCAAAGGTTTCTTAGACACTCATTGTTTTTTGTTGTTGCTGTTTTTCTTTATTCTGTTCTACAGCAGTGATTTCCACCACCCTGCCTTCCAGGTTGCTTATTCATTCTTCTGCCTCAGCTATTCTGCTATTGATTCCTTCTAGTATAGCTTTCATTGCAGATAGTGTATTGTTCACCCTTGTTTGTTTTTTAGTTCTTCTAGGTCCTTTGCTGAACATTTCTTGCATCTTCTTGATCCTTGCCTCCATTCTTTTTCCAAGATCCTGGATCATTTTAGCTATCATTATTCCGAATTCTTTTTCTGAAGCTTGCCTATCTCCATGTCACTTAGCTCTTTTCTGGGGTTTTATCTTGTTCCTTCATCTGGGACATATTCTTCTGTTTTATTTATTTATTTATTTATTTTTCTAACTTTCTCTGATTGTTGTTTGCATTCTATAGGCTGATGGATTGTAGTTCTTGCTTTTGCTGTCTGTCTTCTGGTGGATGAAGTTATCTAAGTGCTTTGTGCAAGCTTCCTTATAGGAGAGACTGGTGGTGGGTGGATCTGAGTCTTATCCCTCTTGTGGACAGGGCTAGGGATAATGGTGGCCCCCAGGAGAGCTCACTCCAATGAGTGCCGGTGTCTTTGCAACAATGAAAAGCCATCCCATGCTTCTGCAGGAGGCCTAGCAAGTAGATCTCACCCAATTTCTTATGGGGCCACTGCTGGGGTCTAGCCTCGGCAGGATCCAGGGGGTACCCTCAGGATGAATGGCGTCAGCGAGAGAGAGAAGACATGTGAGACCAGCCTTGATAGGGCCAAGTCTGCGAGGGAGAGAGAGAGAAAGAGAGAGAGAGAATGACCAGATGGGGGTGTTTGTAGCAGAGTCTGGCAGGGTCTGGCAGGGTTTGGCAGGATCTGGCAGGGTCTGGCAATGCTTTATTTTTTACTGTAGCTTTTATACCCTAAGTCAGTGCATTTCTAAGGGGAAGATAGTTTAACATTACATCAGCTTGTTCTTCACGAAACCAGGGTGTTTTCTGCATACTTCTTTATTTATGAGGGTCTTGTGCATTATCTTCTGGCCTGGGGCCTATTAACATTTTATGCAAGTCGGGTGTATGTAAACCTATTTTCTGTTTCCATGGTGACCTTAACTAAAAGGTAGCAGTCTCATAGAGTAGAAGTATAATCTTGTTAACACAAAAATTAATCCTTCTGCAGAAGTTGTCAGTTGCGTTTATCTAAGAAGTTTATCCCACATTGACTCTGCAACTTTGGTGAGGCAGCTTCTACCTAGCACTTCTGGCTGACAATTAACAACCATCTCATTGTTACCACACTAGGGCTAAGCCCTTATTTTTCTAGATGTTTAACTATATTAAGAACGGTTTCTATAACACAACCTTAGCACATTAAGAGTAAAAACACAGCAAGCAAAGCACAGCAAGCAAACATCAGCTCAATAACCACCTTTAGAATAATTTTTCTTATGTTTTCTAATAGGACTCCTTCACCCCTCAAAAAGGCTCTATTAGGGCTTTTATATAATCAGGTTCTTTATGCTGTTTTATGATTAGGGTATTGTAAGCAGTCATGCATATCAGTACCAAGGGCATAGATGCATTTGCCCAACAAACTAAAATACCAGCAAAGGACTTTAAATTAAAACATTCCTTTCACCCTGGATAATCTCATAAAATACCACCACCCGGGAAAGTTCTAAATTGATTCTTATTTGGAAAGAGATCAGGGAAGGCCTTCTGCCTGTGTCACAAAAATTAGGGAGTGGTCTATTGAAGCAAGCATCAAAAAGACAGAAATCATCTTTAAGGTGAGCGCTGGGGGCAGGTTTTCGGAGTCCCTGAAAACCTGATCCGCCTTGCCTGTCAGGGCAGGTTTTCTCCCTCATGGCCTCGTCATGGGTGGGATCTCGTGTGCCGGCTCCCGGCCGGTCACTGCTTTTCTTCCTTTAGTCCTGGTGCATACAAGACTTTGCATACACTCCAAGAGTGGAATTTGTTTCCCTCAGTCCTGTGGAATTTCTGTGATAAGCCTCCTTTGGATTTCGAAGTCAGGTTCTCTGCTGACTTCTCCACTGCTGGACCCCAAGGCTGGGAAACCTGACTTGGGTTCAGAATTTTCGCTTGTGTAGGATAACTTCTGTAATATATTTTTTTTTTTTCCAGTTTGTGGTTTGCCCACCTGTTGTGTATCAGATTTGATTTCATTGCAATAGTACTCCTCCTCTCATCTCACTGTGTTTTCTCTTTTGTCTTTGAATGTAGAGTATCTTTTTTGGGAGGTTCCAGAATTTTTTTGTCAATGGCTGTTCAGTAGTTGTGATTTTGGTGGTCTCTCAAGGATGGGGTGAGTACACAAGCTTCTACTCCACCATCTTGAGACCAATCCCCTAGTAATAGTTTCTTAGGTCCATATATTATTTTCTTTATTTGTATGTGTGTATATATTTGTGCACATGTGTGCATGGGGAGCTGCTGATTTAATTTACTATTCCTTTCTTAATTTCTTTTTTTTTTCCCATTTATTTTTATTAGTTGGAGGCTAATTACTTTACAACATTGCACTGGTTTTTGTCATACATTGAAATGAATTAGCCATGGATTTACATGTATTCCCCATCCCGGTCCCCCCTCCCACCTCCCTCTCCACCCGATCCCTCTGGGTCTTCCCAGTGCACCAGGCCCGAGCACTTGTCTCATGCATCCAGCCTGGGCTGGTGATCTGTTTCATCCTAGATAATATACATGTTTCGATGCTATTCTCTTGAAACGTCCCACCCTCGCCTTCTCCCACAGAGTCCACAAGTCTGTTCTATACATCTGAGTCTCTTTTTCTGTTTTGCATATAGGGTTATCGTTACCATCTTTCTAAATTCCATATATATGTGTTCGTATACTGTAGTGGTCTTTATCTTTCTGGCTTACTTCGCTCTGTATAATGGGCTCCAGTTTCATCCATCTCATTAGAACTGATTCAAATGAATTCTTTTTAATGGCTGAGTAATATTCCATGGTGTATATGTACCACAGCTTCCTCATCTTTCTTAATTTCTTGAAGTGAAAATTTAGACCACTGATTTGAGACAAGCTTTTTTGATACAGTGTTTAATGGCAAAGTGCATTTAATTAACTAATTGTATTTCATACATTTTGATTGTTTTATTTTTGTTTTCATTCAGTTTGACTTGTTCTCAAATTTCCTTTTCAGTTTTTTTTTAATTTTCTTTTTAAAATTTTGATTCTTTGTTAAACCTAGGTTATTTTAAAGTGTGTTGTAAATGAGAAAATGCTTGGTGATTTCTGAGTTTCACTTCTCCTGAGAATTTCAAATTTAATCTTGTCAAAATCAAAGAACACACATCTTTATTCTTGTAAACCTTTATGTTTATTGTTACTTTTTATGGCCTAAAATATTGTATATCTAGAAAAATTTTTATTATGAATTTTAAAAGATTATGTGTTTCTTATTTATAGGGTAAAATGGGCTATAGACATCAGTTAGGTCTAGTTGGTTGGTAGCATTGCCCATGTCTTCTGTAAATTTGAATGTTTCCATATAAGCTGTTGTCTCATTAGTGAGAGTGAGTTATTAACATCTGCAACTATTATTATTGAATTGTATGTTTTTCAATAAACAATTATTGAATTGTTTTTTCAAAGCAAAAATTTTGATTTTGCTTTGAGTATTTTGAAGCTCTGCTGTTAGGCACATACACATTTATAATTGTTGTATATTTTTGATGAACTGAACCTTTTATAATTATAAAATTGCCCTCATGTCTTTTCATAATATATATCTTAAAGTATATTTTGTTTAATATTAGCATAAATATTTGACTTTTTTTAAATTACTGCTTGCATGGTATATATTTTTCTTTTTACATTTGCCCTTTTTGTGCCTTGACTATGTCTCATGCAAGTAGCAATAGGTGAATTTTGCTTTTTATACAGGTCAACAATCTCTGATTTCAATTGCTGCATTAACACATGAACTTTAAAGTGATTACTAATACGCTTATATTTAAATTTGCTCTTTTGCCATTTGCTTTCTATTACTATGTGGATATTGTAAGTTTTGTTCTTTTTTTCTCTTTAGCTAGTTTGTTTTGTGTTAAACAGATATTTCTAGTATAAAATTTTAGGTCTGGTTGTATTTTTTTAGTTTTTGTCCTAATGGTTGGTGTAATATATACGTTTCCTGCCTTATACAATCTACTTCAGACTGATACTAAGCTAGTTTCAGTAAAACTAGAAACTGTTTCATTACCTTTCAGCAACAACACAAAAATATTTGCTTTTTAATGTGGGTTACTAATCCTATGCAGTTACCTGTATTCAGTTGCCTGAATGCCTGTAGGCATTCAAGCATTGTTATAACTGGGAGAAGAAACTCTCTTTTCTTCTGGAGTTTATATCAGGAGGTTTATGTTTCCTTCATAAACTGGGAAAAGGAGTCATTAGGGATTGAATAAATAGAATTAAAGAAAGATTCTGACCAGATTCTGAGAATAATGTTTGAGCTTCAGAATTAAACTATGATTAAAGTTGCAACTACCACCCTAATTCCTTATTATTTCTCTACTTATTCTAGTTTTATTTGATTTCTTTGTCATATACACAAAAGAGCTCTAATGCAAAGAGTTTTGTTTTTTTTTTTTTTAACTCAGCTATTCTAGTATTTGGTGACATGGAATTAAATCTTTAGTAAAAGAGATCAAATAAAGTGACAGATACCTGTTCAAACAAATAAAACAGTAAACGTGATGATTAAGACAATTAGATAGCTGAAAACTGTTAAGGACCTGGACTGAACAGACTCAGCAGAGACTAAAGTGCAGATAAATGCAGTAGTACTTGGACAGTAAGTGTATATTGGGAGCATTATGAAAATGGGGTACAAGAGAGGAGACAATTTAGTTGGTGAATAATAAGTTACATATTATACATCCTACATTATTGATTCCTGTGGCTTATTTACTACTGAATAAATTAATATAAGAGACAAAGTTGAGTAAAAAAGAAAGAGTTGGAAATCAACTGCACATATACGGATGCTGACTTTAGGGAATAGAAGAGATCACTAAAAGACAGATTATAAAATGAGAAAAGAGTAAAATTTTTAAGGCTTTTCCTGAAAAGCTTATATTGGTATATATGTTTGCTTGTACTCTCAACAAAAGCCATTTACATAGCTTGAGGAATATTAAGATTATGATTTCATTTCCGATTCTCCAAAGCTTGGTTTAATGCTTGGTGTACTATAGTGTCACTTCACAGTCCAGTTGAATAAATGAAAGAACAATGAATTATTCAAATCACCTCATGGGGAACCAGAATTACAGGTCTCTGGTTTTTTCCATAAATATGCCTCATCTCCAGATACTAGAAGCCTCATACTTCCACAAGGGTTGAAGCTTTTTTACATTTTTGGAAACTTGACAACATCGCACGAATATCCTGGAATTATGGGCCTCGTTCTTGTCTTTACTTTTTGGCTCTCACATTGAGAGCATTTCTATTCCCAAAATCAGGAGTTGACGGGGATCTGATTAAGCTTTGCAAGTGGGGGAACCTATTGCTTCTTGGCTCATGTTTTCTCTTTTCTTACTAGGATGTAAACGGCATCTTGAAAAGGTATGTGTGACAGACCAGAGATGGTCCTTATGCTGTGAAAATAAAATAAAAACCCTAGAGATAGCTGGTGACCAGTTCGAATGAAACAATGTTCAGGACTGAAAAAATGGGGTGTAGATTTACCTTAAATTTCTATTCACAAATCATGGCTAGATTGTTCTATAAATACTGAGAGTGAAACAGATTCTACAGTAGGGAATTTTGCTTGTGGAAAGTTGCAGAGTTAGGGTGAATAGTAATATTAGAGTAAGGAGTTGCACTGTCAGACTCCACAAATATTTCATTCACACTGTGTCACTATGCAACTCAGGTTCCCATATTTAGTTGTGCTTATCATGGGAAGTTTGAGTCTTCTTTATCTGCCAAGTACCCAGAATTGGAAACAACTTGTTTATATTTGAGTTTCTTCCCTCCGTATGTTAGAACAGGTCCTTGTACATCTTTCTGTTTAGATTTCCAAAAGCACATGTGGGCCTTAAGCTAGAATTGAAAGTTAGCATCTTTGTGTCTGAATTTGCACACCTACACAATAGCTTCAAGCTGTTTACAAACACATGAAAATCAGGTCATTATTAGTTTAGTATTCATAATGGCTTTTTCTTCAAGGGTATTTGTCTCTGGAGAACCTGAAATCTCAGCATATTCTCCTTATTAAGAAACAGCCTTTGAAGATCTGGGGATTCTAGACAGTGTTCTCATAGTTGATCTGTGTAGAACACCCAGGAGCCAGATCTTGTATCTCAACTTTCTGACATTTTCTTGGGAATACATATCTATGCAGTGACTTTTCCACAAACTGATTTTTTTGAGATATCAAATATTTATCTTGTTAAATTCATTATTTCATACAATTTCCTGTGTGTGTGCATGCTAAGTCACTTCAGTCGTGTCCAATTCTTTGCGACCCCATGAGCCCACCAGGCTCCTCTGTCCATGGAATTCTCCAGGCAAGAATACTGGAATGGGTTGCCATGTGAGGGCATGCCATGAGAGAGCAAGACTCCAAGGAGTCTTCCTGACCCAGAGATCAGACCCATGTCTCTTATGTCTCCTGCATTGGCAGGTGGGTTCTTTACCACTATTGCCATCTGGGAATCCCATAATTTCGTATGATTTCTAGGAAATAGAGAAGGAGAGGTTGATTTCATTATAGAAGAAAGAGACTGTCCTTCTGAGAGGTCAAGACCATCCCAAGTCACACAGAGGGTAACTGGCAAGATGGGCATGAGCACATTTCTTCTGTCTCCAAGGTCAGGCATCCACTCTCTACCTCCCCAAGGTCTGCAGGGAAGACAGTTCAAGTGCATCAGTGGGGTGAAAGTTTTGAAAGTCTGTGGTTTTAGAGGGATAAATAGTGAGAGATGTGGACATCAATTTTTGTCATCCCTAGGAGTAAGACTTTGACTCTGGAGAAGCCAAAACCAGTTCCCAAAGAACAGAGAAGTGTGTTTCGAGCTCCTGATCTGAGAGACATACTGCGAGTGTTTAATGGTGAGGAGTGCTACCCAAGTGGGTGTCTTTGGTTTCTTGTGATGGAGGGAAAATGGAGAGGAGGCTCCCGTTTCTCAGTGTGGATAAAGACAGAAAAACCCAGATACTATGTGCTTATGATGTGGTCATTTTATGGTGAGTGACAAGAGATGTGGTTTTATCCTATCTTTTACCAGTTCACTACCTCACCATAGCCCTTCCCCTAATTTGAAAGAAAATAGATTATAGGGCTGAATCTTTTGCTTATATTTAACATTGTGGATTTTTAATATTTCAGAGCTGAGACATGTGCAACGCTACTGGGGTAAGGAGATATCACAGTGTCATCAAACCACCCTTTCTCGTTATCTTTTAGAATTTTTCATTGTCTTAAGACTCATGTTTTAAGACCCATGTTTTCCCTCCCAATACATACAAATGTATTGCCTTTTCACTAAAGTTATTCTAATTTCAAAATGTCTGAAATAAAACTACATCATGGCCCTCACATATCCCTCTAATTTTTTAACAGTTCACATGACCCTGAGTCGTACAACAGGTAATCAAAATATTGCCATTTCTGCTGATGGAAGACAAGTGACATATGTGTTCAAAGGCCAAGGACAAAATCCATGTTGGAAAGAAGTTTATGAAGACTATGGTGTCCTGGGATACCCAGTTATCACATCAGGGAGACATTACTGGGAGGTAGATGTGTCAAAAAAACGTGCCTGGATCCTGGGGGTATATGGTGAAAAACACGCTCAATGTAACACAAAGTTACCGCTTAAAGCTGATGGAAATCATCAAAATGTTTACCCGAGATACCAACCTAAAAATGGTTACTGGGTCATAGGGTTAAATCATGATTCTGTATATAATGCTTTTGATGAGTCTTCCTCCTCAGATCCCATGATCTTAACCCTCTCCCTGAGTGTTCCTCCTCGTCATATTGGGATTTTCCTAGACTATAATGCTGGCACTCTCTTATTTCTCAATGTCACAAACCATGGGTTTCTCATCTATGAATTCTCTTCATGTTCCTTTTCTAAAAAAACATTTCCATATTTCAATCCTTTGACCTGTAAAGTCCCCATGAATCTGTGCTCACCAAGCTCTTGAACCTTCTCACATCCACCTCTCTGTAGTGCCTCTTACTATGAGTGCATCTAACACATCTGAGCTTATCTGCACCATTCTTACATTTTTTCCTCACTGCCTCCCCTTTTTTCCATTCAAATGTCCTTCGTTCATCAATAGGGTTTACAGGTTGCATTGTGTCATATTTTCCAAATATCATGCTTGCATTAGGAGAAAATCTGAATTTACCATTTTTCATCCACCAAGGGAAAATGATTGATGCCCAATAAAGAACAAGTAGTATCAAGGCAGCACTTTTGACAAATTTTCACAATCTCATTTCCTCTGCCACTGACTGAGATGATGAAGAAAAGCTACTCAATAACTGTTGCATATTATTGAGGACCTATTGTAGGAGTCATTCATAAACAGATGCATCTTAAGCAGTGTCACTGTTTAACTATCATGTTTCTTATTCATCAAGAAATTAATTAGACAATATCATAGATCATATGTAGTAAGAGTGTAAGTTTTGTGTCCAGAGTATCTGAGTTCAACTCCTTTCTCTTCATATTATTAGCAGTGTAACCTAGAATAACATCTCTAAAATCTGTCTTTATTTTCTTAAAGTAATCTTATTTAAAAAGCTGCATCATACATAAGATCATTGTCAGAAGATACATGCTATCACATAGAGAGCATCTAAGTGTCTCAATAATAAACACTTTATCTATTAATTAATGAAAAATATAACTTTTGTCTCAGTGTCTCATTCAACAGATTTGTGTCTTCAGGGACACAAGGGTTCCTTCTACTAATATCTAAATTTTCATATCCTAGGTACCTCTTTGTTGCTGTTAAGACTACTCTAGCTTTTCTGTCATAGAAAAGCACGTACATATGTGTGTGTGATCACAGTTAAAATTTTATTATGATTTTGGTGTTGCTACATTCAGGCTCTTATAAAGTAAACTAAATTATCTGGAATCCAGTTCTTCACTTATAAAAAAGATTATACAGAATTTACATAATTACTATTGTGAATATGAAATCATAAAGTCTTTGTAATAAGTTCCGTAACTACTAGGACAGAAGTGGTAGTACAATGTGTCATGTGTTCATTCTGATTCCCTCTCACTGTGACTGAAATAAATCATTTTCAGAATACATATTGCTTTATTTTCAACATTATTACCCTTCCAGTTTTAAGAAGTAAATTAATTGAATAAAGAATGACATTTTCTTTAAATTTTGCCTAACTGTAAACTGTTTCTGTATAGCTGCTTTATTTTATTTTTTTAAAAAGTTCTGCACTAATCCTTTTTCCTTGAAATTGGATTTCAATTTGAGCTCTGTTTCCCCAGCTTTGCTTCCCTTGTGGCTCAGCTGGTAAAGAATCTGCCTGCAATGCAGGAGACCTGGGTTTCATTCCTGGGTTGGGAAGATCCCCTGGAGAAGGGAAAGGCTACCCACCCAAGTATTCTGGCCTAGAGAATTCCATGGGCTGTATAATCCATGGGGTCACAGAGTTGGACACAACTGAGCAACTTTCACTTTCACTTTCCCCAGCTTTACAAAGCTATCATTCACTGTGATACATTAAGACTCAGAAGTATAATTGTGGAATTTCTTAACCAATACCATAGGTAGCTGTTTTGTGTGCCTGGTCAACTTTAGTTTTGCAGTGAGATGTAAGTTGTCAGGAATGAAGAAAAAAGTGTGTTATCTTCCTTTAGTGAGATAAGAGGGGAATTATTTCCGCAGGGGATGTTCATTCAGGGTTTGGTGGGATCCCCAAGTCTTTTGGAATTTTTAATCCCAATTTAGCCTCCAATGGAGTTAAAGTTTAAAAACCAATGCCAAAGTGGATCAAGTGTACCTGCTCTCATCTCTGCTAGTTCCCCCAAACTCCCAGCTTCTTTAACTTGGACAGTCTTTGAATTCACAAGGGATTCTAAGGAGAATTTTTTTTTTTTTTTCAGTTTCTGTCTCTGGTGTGTATGCACACATCCGCATCTTAACTCTCATCCTTGGAAACAGGGGGAAACTGGTCTTTTAAATGTATTCTTTGCCTTCCTTTCATCCCCTTGCTACAATGACTGATGCTCTGATACATTAGGAAAAATCTGTACTCTTGAATTATTGACAAATGACTCTCCAGGGTCATTGATAACTTTTCACTTACTGGAAGCCCAATCTTCCAGTTCAGGATGAAGCAATTAGTTAAAAGAAAATGAAGACCTGAATTTTTGTATTTAAAAAGAAAAGATCTGCACCCTGAAGGGCATTCACTTTCTAGTAGTGGTTCCTGGGCCCAGAAATAAAGCCTGCTGAAAGAATATAACATTGATAAGTAGCTCCCAGTCACATACTCTCTTCTCAGAGAAAGGACAAAGTAGGTGTCCTGGAACCTCTTCAGTAATTGGTGCTCAGAAAACAGGACAGTTACATGTTAAAAAATGAGAATTAAACATTGTCTCACACACGATTTTTGTTCTTTGCAGTAGCAGTAGCAATATTAGGTCGCTCAGTCATGTCCAACTCTTTGCGACCTCATGAACTATAGCCTGCCAGGCTCCTCTGTCCATGGGATTCTCCAGGCAAGAATACTGGAGTGGGTTGCCATTCCCTTCTCCAGAGGATCTTCCTGACCCAGGGATCGAACCCAGGTGTCCTGCTTTGTAGGCAGATTCTTTACCATCTGAGCTACAGGGAAGATCTTTGTTCTTTGCAGGCCCTCAACAAATTGGATGATGTCCACCCACACTGGGAAAAGCAAACTACTTTACAAAGTCCACATCCAATTCTAATCTCATCTGGAAACAACACACACACAGACACAACCAGAAAGAATGTCTAATCTGGTCACCCAGTAACCAGTCAAGTTGACACATAAAATTAACCATCTCACTAATTTCTCTAATTCATTTTTATCATGTTAAAATTATAGGAATTATATGTTAGATAGTATTAGAAGACATTGTGCAACAAATGATACTTCATACACTTTCATCTTCTTAGTCTATTTAGAAAAGTGTCATTTTGGCCATATTGCACCCAACTTCTTAAAGTCAGCATCAGTGAACAACCACTCTGTGATCATCCCTCTGATTGACCACCTCAGTGATTTCAGATTTGTTGAGCCGTTTCTTCTAACATGACCTAATAGGACAGTCTGTCCACATTCACTTACTTCAGCTGGTGGACACAGGCCAGGGGAGAGCATGCCAGTGTTGCTGCCTCAGGGAGCCCTCAGTGTGGGTCCTCACTGGGGAAAAGAGGATACTTTACTCCCTCCTCTTGATAGCACATTTGTAAGGAAATGAGACAAGGTGGGTCTGTAAAATTACATTGCTCAGGAAGCTTTGTTTTCCAAAGGATGGGTTAGTTTGAAGAAACATGAGAACAGCTTCCAGGAGAAGAGCTGAGATAGGAATAAAATGCACTCACTGACCCACCAGGCTCAGGCACAAAAGCCTTGTCACTTTCCAAAGGCTCTATGTGGACACCTCTTATTGGTCTATAATTTCTATCCTCCTTTCCTGTCCAAACTCCACCCCCAGAATTTAACTTTCATTTCCCCTCATCTTCTACTTCAGATCATCATAGTGGAGGTCAGGCCCCTAGTGAGGTGAGTGAATCCTGAACATATCTGCCCAGGGCCTGTCTTCACCCTTCTCCAAGTAATCACAACTTCTCTGTTAGGATGTGAAGCTAGCTGAGTGGTTTGTAGAGGGCAGAGTCTGAGAGACACAGAAGAAAAAAATGAAATCTGCTTGAGTGTGTTTAATTAGATGTCTGGAAGCTGTTCTAAAGGGGGAAATGGCCCAGCCTGCAGGCTTCCTGCTGAGAGCGCTGACTGAAGATCAGTCTGGGGGAGGGGAAGTCTTAGGAGAAGGGGGATTGGAAAAAGAGAAAGGCTTGGTTTGTTCCTTGGAGGGACTATTTATTTCTCAAGACTAAAATTTACCCACAACTCCTTCACATTCTGTTAAGTCTCAGTTGCACCTTGCTGAGGTCAGTCAGGATCCCTGATTTTTCAAGAGGTAGAAAATCCCTTCTATCAACAAGAACAAAGGCCAAGGGGTCTTTGAGTCCTGTTATTTTAATTTCTATCAGGGTATCACTGTAGTATTCCTGCATGACCGTATCAATAAATTCTCATTCCATAGGCCTGTCTATGCTTAGGAGCCTGATGATGTGACAGCTGGCAGGCTCTCCTCTGTGGTATTCACTGGTCCAGACATGGAACTACTGCATTTCCTTACATCCTTATCCTGCTCAAGCTTCTCTATGAGCTGAATTTGCCACTCAGAACCAGCTCAGCTGAGAGATCAGGAGCAAGACGAGTACCTGGCAAGAATTTCTAAAAGTGACATCTGGAAGCATCTAACTTCTAGTAACAGTGACATCTAACTTTCACTTTTAAAATCTTCTTACTTGATTGGTGTTCGTGATATAAAAAGATGTCCGAGAAGTATTATTATATCCACATCATTAGACCTGAAAGGGAAATAAGTTAGAGCAGCCTCTGCATTTATTTCTCTTCCTCCTTATAGAATGTCCAGCTGTACCCACTGTACTCGGGCACAGAATGTGAAATTGAAAAGTTTCAGTCACTTAGTCAAGTCCAGTTCTTTGCGATTCTATGGACTGTAGCCCACCAGGCTCCTCTGTCCACTGAATTCTTCAGGCAAGAATACTAGAATGTGTTGCCATTCCCTTCTCAAGGGATCTTCCCGACCCAGTGACTCAAGTACAGACACAAGTCAAATCTCTTTCCTCACCAGGAGTTCCCCCTTTCTGATCTAATCTTTCTTCATCAAAGCTGACTTTGGAGATTATCATCTCTGCTACATATTCCTCGTTCCCTCTCAACCAAAATTGGTTTTAGACCCTTGTCTTCTGAGCTCATACAGTTCACCTCTGTCAGGCCAGTTACTATAGGGTCTTAGAACTGATTTGTTAGTTTACTGTTTCAGGTTTTATCTTACTAGTATTGAAAGGAATTTATATTAAATAATAGTAGATGACTACCTTGG